ATGAGCAAGAGGGTGGCTAACCGCACACTGATCCACTCAAGACTAAAAAACATATTTTTAATTTTTATAAATAGCATTGTGGAAAGTGCATGTGAATTAAAAACAGATGGACACGAGCAAGCAAGCAAACGTTTCTGCACATTGCTATCTTCAGTGCTTCAGAGCACTGAAGATAGCAATGTGCTGAAACGTTTTTGTCTTGAGTGGATCAGTGTGCGGTTAGCCACCCTCTTGCTCATTTTCAAATTTCTAATCTAAAACATACATTTTGTATAGTCTTTTTCCTCTCAAATTTTCTGTGGATTATTAAGCACCTCCTTGTGGTCCATTAGGGGTTCCGGGACCCCTGTTTGAAAACCTTTGGTCTAAGAGATCTGATTTCAGATATAACTCAGATATAACAACTTTTTATAACAACTTTTTATAATAGATATAACTTTTTTGACAAATTTGTAGGGTAGTTAATGCGTTTTGCTTTTGCACGCTTTTCAGTCGATTGCACAAGTAAACAAACAGAATCTGTGCTATCCATTAGTGTGTGCATATGGTCTGTACTAATATTAAGCAATATGTTTTATTAATCAAAATATTCAGTTATTAAACTAACCTCTCTGTGGCTCAAATGGGCTTTGCTTTAAATGATTTGTATAGCAAATTAAGTTTTGGCAGCTTTGTTGGCTCTCAGAAAAGTCTTGTTGCTCCCTAGCCAATTCATTAATGATTATTATAAAGTTTATTCTTTATTTAGTTGATTATTATAAAATAAGGTAATTTTTTCAGTTAGAAGACACTTTATACCTAAGCATTAAATGGGCAAATTACAGTACAGTTTTACTGCAGTGACTGAAAGAGTTTATCTTGTTCTTGGGCACTATGGTGTTTAAAGTTTAAAGCAGTTTAAAGGCCCCGATATACCCCCAGCAAAGTTCTTTTTCTTTCTTGGATTAGGGGTAAAACAAAGTTTGAAATACCTGAGCAGCAGTATACTCTTAGCTAACATCCCACGCTGCTGGGAGCAGCTTTTAGATGAATCTCTTAATATGTCTTGCGAGCTTTCCTCTCAGTAATGAAATTAACACAATAAAAATGACAGCGGTGAGAAAACAACATTAATGAAAGCATCTGATCATAGCGATGTGGATATGTTTTAACCAATGCTGCAATTTGGCACTCCAGTTAAGTCACATCATGTTTATTTATATAACAGTTTATACAATAGATTGTTTTAAACAAGCGGTTTTACAGTATTAAACATGAAAAACAATGTTAGTGTTGCTTTCAGTTAGATTTACATTTTCACTTTCTACTATAAAGCAGCTCTCCAGGGTGTTCACATTATTACTCACATTGCACCACAACAGACTAAAAAGAAGAAATGAACCTGGAGAAGATTTCTGTGTCAAAGAAGGCAGAGCCCCAGCGCCGTATACCTACTGTACCTATTACACAATCACCACAGACCATAGTTCGGAGGTGTTTACCAGACACAGTGAATTCTTCTAGAAAGTTGCTTTGGCAAGCTGTTTTAAACACTCCAAACTAACAGCCAAAAAAATCTGATCACAGCAGATCATTCTTTGATTCTGCTTGAAGCCTTAGGATTTCCCCCTTCTGGGGTTTGGCCTGCAGCCACTGCATTCTTCTTGAGAAATGTGTATAAATATAGATCTTTAAAGGAATAGTTATTCCCCCCCCAAAAAAAGAAAATTTGCTTAAAATTTACTCCCCCCTCAGGCCATCCAAGATGTAGATGAGTTTGTTTCTTCATTGGAACAGAAATTTAGCATTACATCACTTGCTATGGATGCTCTGCGGTGAATGGGATTAGAGTCCAAAATGAGAGTCCAAGCAGATGATAAAAACATCATAATAGTCCACATGTAATCCACACGACTCCAGTCCATCAATTAACATCTTGTGAAGTGAAAAGCTGCTTGTTTGTAATAAATAGACTTTTTCTTTTACTTTAAACCTTAAAATACGAGTCCATCAAAAGTCATCCTGTCTGAATCGGGAAAGAAATATGTACAAATCAAGCATAATTTATAAGTGAAAACAATTCTAAACAAATATGTTGTTGGATTTTGATGTGAGAAGACAACAGCGGATGGACTTTTTCACTGGAGAAAGTATTATTATGGATTATGGACTGAATTTGGCCAGAAGCAACAGTTTAAAGTTAAAAAACATCTGGATGGATTTGTTTCTTACAAACATACAGCTTTTCACTTCGCAAGATGTAAACTGATGGACTGGCGTCGTGTGGATTATCGTAACGCTTTTATCATTGGTGTGGACTCTCGTTCCCATTCACTGTAAAGGATCCATTGGGGAACAAGTGATGTAATGCTAAATTTCTCCAGATCTGCTCTGATGATCTTGGATGGCCTGAGGGTAAGTACATTTTCAGCAGAGTTTTATTTTTTTGGGTGAACTATTCCTGTAACCACAACTCTCCACCAGATTTCTTGTTTATCTAGTGAAACCATCAGCATGAACACTGGTAATTGAGGCTGCTTATGCATGGAAGCTAATTGTAGAGCATGGAAATGGGCACATTAAATTTAATGTGGTAAAATCATCAAAGGCTTGAATCTGATCAGACTGTACTAGCAATGGCAAGGTCAGCTACAAAAAAAAATATGTATGACCAGATTGGGTTACTAGAGGCAGCTCATACAGTATGTTCCTAATCACCTCACTCTGG